GCCACTGCAATAGTTTCACAAGCCCTAGTGACGTAGTCGTCAAATTCTACAGGGTGAATACGCTTGAACGAAGTCGACAAATGTTCATGTCATTAATGATAGATTTGCTTCTTGCTAATAGGTGAGTCATAAATAGTGATCCATGACTGACATACTTTTCTAATAACCAAACAACCTTCTGTGCGAGCAAGATCTAGATCGATATATGCCGTATTTTCAGATTCCACGACAGCTGCTCCCGGGACACTTGCTCTCTAGCGACAGTTGCTCCTGCAACAGTGGCTCTCACGACACTTGCTTCTACGACACCTGCTCTCCAGCGACAACTGCTCCTCGGGCACTCACTTTCGCGGCACGGATATGGGTGTGAGTGGGGAAAGAAGTGATGGACATTTACAGTCACCGCATCTCTCACACCTACATCCATACTCGCACCCACACTCACATCCAAACACAGTCACACCCGCCCATAATCAAATTTGCACCCACATTCACATTCACATCCGCACACTCCTACCCACACTCACATTTTCACCAAAACCTACCCATATTCACGCTCGCATTCGCATCCACTCTCACCCACAGCCACACTCGCATTCGCAATCACACCTCTTCCTGTAGCCACACTCGCACCAACACCCACATCCACACCCATCTACGGTCACACTCATACCCACACCTGCACTCACAATCACACTCACACCCATACTGGCACCCACACTCATATCCATAACCCTGCCGCTGGAGCAACTGTCGTCGGGGAGCAAGTGCCTGGAGAGCAACAGTCGTGTTACCATATTTGCAATCAGTTTTTTCAAGTCAAAATGCAATCGCTTTTCTAACAGAAAATCGTATCAGATAGGCCATAAACCATCGATTGAAACTGCATCATCATTGAGTAATTGAAGAAAAGAAAAGATTGCGTGCAATAATACAAGGATTAATATCGATAAGATAAAACTCCCATTCATATAAAGATGGAGATGTTTGAATAAGATTGAGAGTATTGCGTAGACCACCACTACCAAGAAATAGACATTGGTTCACCGAATTCAAATTGGAGAACAAAACGCTGATGGGGCTGCAAACTGTTTCAAACAATATTTTGTCTGACGTCATACTGATTGATGAGAACACGGCTTTTTCAATAAGAAAGAACATGTTGATTCTGAATCTGGAAACAAAAAAATATTCGTGATCTATTATTGGTTTTGAATATTATCTGAGGTTTTAGAGAAACAAGGAAGGAAATGCTTTCAGTCACTAAAAACACAAGGTGTGTTGCTAGAAGGAGTATCCTTGGTAGAATAGCTGTGTAAATGTTTTTTAATCGACAAAGAAGATTTCTTGTTCATTCCTTCAGTAAAATTAACACAAACTGTTGGAGGAAAAGCTAAAGCAGATAACTCTCATATTTGTAGTTGGGCCGCGTCGCTGATCATCCATAATAAACGTGACACTTTATCTTTAATTGAACGAGTAAGATACATTTACTAACTTTACTGTACCCGATTAGGTAAAGTGGATTACAATGCTTAAAATTTAGCATGGATTTTTTAGTCTAAAATCATACACTGATAATGGTGCAGCGTATCAACATACTTTCTGAACCGTTTCTCCAATAAATAAGTGCAAATATTAAGTTAGGTTGCTAACTTCTCTTACCAATGGGTGGTACCTTTACTCCTCTGAGACCTATTCAGGGATGATATCTATAACTTTTGAAAGCTATCTTAAAAGCATAGTTGTAATCTTTGAAGAACTAGCTAGGATTAGTAACTCTAACTTTTAAGCCTACTTGAGGGTAATACCTGCCATATTTTAAGAATTACCTGGCATTAGTGTATGCACGATTTTCATGGTCACCATATAGTGGTACTTAATTAGTATTAAGAGCTATTTCAGCTCAATGCTGTAACTTTTCAAGGAAGATCTAAAGACCATACCTATAGCTATTCACGCCTTGTCTAGCCTTGACGTGCAGGCCTTCACGAACTCTGAGGTGCCTGTTTCATAAAGCTATCTCAAGATACATGAAATGTTCTTTTCAGCCGTTTTTAATGTTTTCTCAAGTGTTAGCCTTAGCCAAATCAAATAATATAATACTACTGTCTGGTATGTTCATGCACATTTGCGGAATTTTTTTAGCCTGATATTGTGCGTTGAAATGGCTAGATACTAACGCGAGACATGATTGTATTTTTGATTCCATCGAAAAGGAAAACCAAATTTTTGAAACAATATGGTAAATCATTTTTTCTGAGTTGAATGAATGTTTTTTTTTTCACACAAGAACCTAGTCGCAAAGAGTGATTGAAGAAGAATTGATTCTTCACAAAATTCACAAAGCTTTTTCTCTATTACATCAAAGAAATCTTTTTATTCAAGCTCTTTAAATTGTCTCAACGGAATAAAAGTTTTAGATCAAAACGAAAACGCTTTGTGTATTTCTTGAAAAAGTTTTTATATCCTGCATATTTTGACATTTTTCGACAATGCTTCTTCAGAGAAATCGGCAGACAAACCTTTGTGAGCTTTGTAAATGTGTCAATTCCTATTCAATCAGTATAGAATGTCTTGTAGAGACTAAAGCATTGTCTGAACATTTTTCTTCATTATTCATTATAACTTTCTGCAAAATGCATTGGTGATGCACACTTATATAATATGCTTCAGCATCTTATTCACGACTATTTGTCTCTTCGACGAAATGATCATATAGAATTGTGACCGTATGATGAAATGTCCATAACACAACTTTTTTTTACAATGTATTGTCCGCTACTAAATATCTGCTACAACCTATCTGGTGACGAAACCCTAACCGCCACTAATATTACCTTCTATTAGTAGTGGTCAAAATGTTAGAGATATTAACCTCAGGTATCAATCTTAAAGCATTACATGTATGATCCCAAGATATTTCTCAAAAAATTATAAGCACCAACCGTTGGTAATGAAGTTAGTTACTTGACCTGTTGTTGCACTTATTTAATAAAGAAAAATGGATCTGAAAATATTTTGATATGCTGCATCAGTATCAGTGTATGATGTCGCACTAGAAAATCAACAATATATGCTAGAATGTCCTTTCAAAAAATGTCTTGAGCGCAATTTTCTCTACTTTTCCTCCCTGTAGAACAATATCTTAGATATTTCGTCCTTGAAAAAGCGTTCCTGGAGTATTTGTCTTTTGTAAAAATATCTTTAAGAAAAGGTCCCTCGTCTGAAAATGTTCCTGATCTTGAAGTTTATATAGAAGATTTATTTCTATATGGAATGAACTGAATAAGAACGAAAAACTTTGTAATGCTTCAATGTGAATGTGAATCAAAGGTTTACGCGCATCCATCCACGTACCAAAACTCTACACTCACAACTAAACATTTACTCACCAATATTCCACATCCATACCCACCCTTTTTATTGCGGCGAATTAAAAATAAGATGAAGCTCAATCAGTTATAATAAATTAAATTACATTATAAGTATTGGTACAGAACACTGCTCATACTTTGTTGAAAGGACATTTTTTCAGAGTATCGCACAACTAAGAGCTATTTCTCAGGGACATAGACGGCATTTGTCAGCTAAGCAGAGGATCAGAGAAAAGAAGCAATAATTTTGTCTGCATAGTCTTTGAATTCCCTTGGGAGTCCAAATATTACGTGAGCAAACCCTAATTCGAGTTCCCTTCCCTCTCGCGCCGTCTCTACTCACTGACATTTTCTTCAAGGACATTTATTCAGAAGAATATTTTTTCAAGGACAAAAAGTCGAGGATATTTCCTCAAGGACATTCTAGACTGCTATCTAAATCAACACTAAATTTTTAGTATTGTAATTCACTTTGCTTTGCTTTACTTTTCGGCTAAAGTGAACTTGTTTGACTTTAATCAATAAACTAAAGCTAGTTACATTACTTAACTGTTATGAAAGAAAAATAAAGATAAAGTGTCATTTATAATCAGAAACTAGAAAGTAGATAGAATTATTAAGAAAGAATCATTTCATCCAAATTTTTCAAAAAAGACCAACTTCGAATAGAACTTGTCAACTTGTGCTATAAATAAAACCGCAATGATGTCATTTATCGATATAGAAAAAAAATTTCTTAATTACGTTTAATTACCTATCCAAGCGTGCAATTTTAATTTACAATAATGATTTTCAGAATGTCATGTCGATATTGATTTAATTTTGAACAGAACATCGATTAGAACTGTTGAGTATGATACAACAAAAACATAAGCTTCAATATTTTTTCAAGGTTTTTGTGTATGATTCAATACGTCATTCAGTACAGTTACAACAAACAAATGACTCATCCTCACTTCAAGATGATTTTCATTAATATAATATTCTAAAAATAAAATGTTGATAATAAAACTATATAGGACATATTATCTCTGGAAAAAAAGACAAATATGATATTCCATTGTATATGAAGGATATTGCATGCTGTAGATTAAACAATTGAGCTTAGCTTAAGAAGAAATATTAATATTAATAGTCAGGAAGATTAAAATTCTATGATCGTGATAATTTTTCTACTACACATTTTCTAGAAAGAAAATTTATTTAAAATTTTCTGAAAGTCTTTCCGTTAAACTTTTTCTTTTAAATCATTTAACTCTTATTTGCAAGCAAATCGATTTCAACAACCGATTAGATAAAAACCAGATTAGTAATATTTTAAAGTCATATGCAACATTTTTATCTTTTCTTTATTTGCTTCAAAAACTAGTACGAAAAAAAAAACAACAAAAAAAGAAGACTACATACATACGAAAGGAAAAACAAAACAAGAGATGAAAGGACAACAAGAACCTGCACTAATGATATATATATACGATTGTTTCTGACGATCGCTTGATTATTTCTGTGTAGAAGTCATAGAACAATATGAAAAATAATTACAAATTATTAACAATTATCCATTTCGTTCTTGTTCACTGAAATGAAGTAATAAGCAAAAAAAAATTTAATTCAATAAGAATGTTAACATACATAAGACTTTTTAGTTTCACTGGCAGCTTTATTAGCACCTGATTTGACACTATCTGCACCACTTTTAACTGCATCACGAGCTTTATTGATAGCTGCATCCGCAGTACGTTTAGAATCTGATGATAAATCTTGTTTCTATGAAACGAAAAATATTTACAAATGAATGTTAAATATTATTGGAAATATTTACGGTATCTTTCACCCATTCAGATGCTTTATTAGCTGCATCTATATAAAATATAAATATAAGAGTAGATTAAAATTATACAATAAAAATAAAACATACTCTTAGCAGAACTGGCAACATCATCAGCGACTATTAATTTTATATAAATTAGAAAATAAAATACAAATATATATATATATTAAATTAATTTACCTTCACGAGCTTTATTAGCAGCTTGATTAGCATAATTTTTAGCTGTTGAACCAGCTGCATTAACCTAACAAGAAGAAAAATCAAAATTTCTCTTTTTTTTCCTATACATATAAAAATTCATACTGTTGATTTTGCTTGTTGAGCATATTCACTTGCTTTATCTTTAATTTTATCAGTGGTTGTTTGACCACTAGTGGAATCACTGGAACATGATGAACTACTACTTGTTGTTCCATATCCAGAACGATTTTGTGCTTCATCAGCTGCATTTCGAAAATTATCAGCAGCTCGATTACCTAAGAAAACACAATCATTTTTTTCTTATTCTGTTTTTCTTGAATCTAGAAATAACTCACCATGTCTTTTAGCATCCTCAACATTTTTATCTAAACAAAATAATTTACTTTATTGATTAAAATATCTTTTTAAATTTAGAATTATTAATTTACTAGTATTATAATCACCAGTAACAGCACCAACAACTGTTGATGTAGCATTACTAGCAGCTTCTTTAACTTTTTCAGCTGCTTGACTAAGTTGTTCTACACCTTGTTTTACATAATCCATAGGACCTTTTCCTTGTCCAGTAGCAAGTGTACGTACAACATTTGTTTGTACGACTAAAATATTTGAAAAAAATTAAATTTTAATATTAAATTAATATAAAACTTACCTCGTGAACTGAGAAGAAAAGTACGTGTAAGAGTATTTGCCATGATATAGAGTATTTTCGTTAATCGAATAAATGAAAAAAAGAATCGGATAAGATTTTAATATCTAAAAAATTCAAAGAATATCAAACTTGTCTACCCCGACGTATGTCTCGAACGTAGTAGTGAAGAGAATAGCAAATTCAATCTGTATATATAATATATACTCATTGGTTTTGCTTTCCACGTGTTACTTCCACGTGCAATTTTCATACGTTACTTCAACGTGACAACATTTTACACTCAATGACATAATGACTCATAATCCATTACGTGAAAAAGAAAGGCTATTTTTTTCTTTCGATAAAGAGAACAATATATATTTATCAAATGGTGGCAAATGACTTCATATTAGACAGAGATCATGAAGTGAAAAATATTTCGGAAAGTACTCAAATACATAGATAAAATGAGGCAAACAGTACAACGCAGTTGTTGATATACAAAGGTGACATCTATTTACAATAGTCCATTCAGAATTGTTAGTACTGTACTACCTTAGAACAAAATATAAATACTTGAATCTATAAATATATCTATTAAAATTTGATTTTTTCGTATTTTTATTATCAAGAGAGGAAGAATTATGATAGTTCAATTGGTTATGATATGTTATTTCTGATCCTATCAAAAATCCATAGACTGGTTTCTTTTTGTAATAAATTGATAGTCTACAATAATATTGATGATATGTATTTTTATTTATCGGTTTACAAGTATTTATTTGCTATACGAAACTGTAAAGAATCAGTGATGTCATTAGAAGTGTTTGATGTGAAACTTGTCTATTTATTATGCATAAAATAGAATTTCTCTTGCTCTATATTGAATAAAGTCAATTTTTAATCAAATGAATATAGTTTATTAGTTAATCGGCAATAAGTATCGATTGAACTTCGATAATAGTGATATGGATACGTAAACATCATCATTATCATATTAATTGAAAAGATCAACGAGTATACAGTTTGCAATGGATGAAATAGAATCGTTTCAAACAGTTCTTTTATCAAAAAAGGTCGCCATGTGACTTTTAGGTAATATTCATATTTTGCTATGGTGTAAATGACTCACAACAGTTTCTTATAACCTTGAGAACTATGTGTTATTCATCGTTTACAGTACAAACAAATATAGGCTATAATAAATGACAAAAAGTCGCTGTGGAAGAATCGTCAATGATTTTACTGTTTTAATGTGATGATTGGGATCGTGTGATGAAATGTCTTGATTTTAAATCCATAAGAACTATTCAATTATTCATATAATAATATTTCAAGACTTGAACATAATCTGCTTTTGTATAGTATAATTAATCTAATACACATAAGTATTCTTTGTAAATCTAACGAGTGGTCGAAAATATTCTGGATAAACTGTTTGTCTACTTTTGAACCGCTAGAAAGTGTTTATGATGAGTCGAAATCTATAACTCAGGACCAGAATTTTGTGCTCTTCCAGAATATGGTGTTAGAAATTCTTCTTCAGTTTTTGTTCTGGTGTAGTGTAATTATCTTTGAACAGTTAAAAAAAATTAGTTTGAACAAAGTTTGTGGGCTGAAGTTTCCGGTGAACATATTTGTGCATTTTAATCTGCCCCAAAGCATGTCAGTCGAGTCAAAAACTATAGGACTTGATCAGAATTTTTTGTTCTGTTTAATTATGGATTTAGAAATGTTGGGTCTGTTCTTGTTTCAGAGTTTTATGAGATTTTTTGAACGGATCAAGAAATTATATCTAATAGTGACTCGACAGGTTTTTGTTTACTCTATAAGTTTCTTTTCGAACATGCTAAAAATTGTCGGTGTCGGTCGTTTCATAGAGACGATACTTCTCTACAACTTTTGATGGTGAAATAAGCTGTAGCTTTTACACAATTGAAGCTACAATCATTTTATCAAGAGCTCCTTTGAACGTAAAAAAGTTTTGGTCAAAAAGTCGATTTTTTTCAAAAATGAGCATTTAGGAAAAAGAGAACATTGAGTTGCCTTGTTGAAAAACAAACAAATACTGAAATAGTGCATCTTGTATGACAGCTTCTGATCTACAAGCTCGTGTATTAATAAACATCCCAACTTTTGTTTCGAATCGAAACGATTAGTGAAAATATCAAAAATATTCTGAAAAATTTTGTCTAACCGAATTTTTTAAGCTCTTCAAATATTATTTTATTACTCCAGAACAAAAACCGAAGAAGAATTTCTAACACCATATTCTGAAAGAGCACAAAATTCTGGTCCTGAGTTATAGATTTCGACTCATCATAAACACTTTCTAGCGGCTCAAAAGTGGACAAACATTTTGTCAAGAAAATCTTCGATCATCCGTTATATATGTTATTTGCTCGAGGCCACAGATTTTCTATAGAAAACTCAACTGGACTAAATCCTTTAAAAAAGTTCAGAAGTTTTCAACGATATTTCTTCAAAATGTAGATTCTTTTCATGAATAGTACATACAACATGCATTTTTGAAACTCTTTATATTTCGAAGAAACTTTGCTTAAATTTTTGAATTGTTTTACGGAAGCTAATCTAGTTGAATTCTCTATATGAGCGAAGTTTTAGATCAGACTTCGAAAATACGAGTTTTTCCTATAATCTGTGACCTTTAGAAAACATTACAATACTTCAATTTTTAACAAACGTTAAACTCGTGTATGAGTGCTTATTAAAAATATTTTTCTTCATTTGTCTTATAAACAAAAAACTTATTCCTACAAAATTTGTAACAAGAATTTTATAAGATTTGCAAAGATTTTTCGATGATTTATGTTTATTAGTTTCTACGAATCGTCATCTTATAGAAAAATAATTGATTAATTGTTCGATTTATTCGTATAAAACATTTTGAACATTTTTATTTTCTTAAGCAGTACAAGATGTCGCCGTTTTCTGATCGTATTCAAATTTTAATTCTTATATTGTTAGGTTTAACTTTACTCTTGTTTATTTATTCTCCTTATAATCCTCCTCCTCTTTTTCATTCCAATCACAACTATATATATGTTAGCGTCCAATGTCGGATACAGTCCAATCTCAGATCCGTCTAGGCCATTCTCGAATTCTCACATTGGACTAGTCCAATATGAGAATCCGAGATTGGTCTAGGCGGATCTGATATTGAACGCTAACATATATATATATATACACAAAACAAAAGGAAAATTCTAACGAAAAGAATAATTCAGGCGAAATAGTACGAGAATACATATAACATAAAGAAAAGAAAGAGAACAATCAAGATGGTAGGATAATGAATGTATACCACTACCTAACATATATACTATTGGTTTTTAATCATTATTCCACCTTTTTTTCAGCTACCAAATTATCAAACAAAGACATTCAATGAAAAAATTCTAAACTATTTTTCCTCATTATTTTCACGATTTCACATAATTAGTGTTTTCTTAAAACGATTATTCATATTCTTTTTCAGATAAATTTCATTGTTCTTGGCCTCTGTATTTCAAACTAAATCCATGTCAACATCATCAGGTACACGTGGTCGAGGCCGTGGAAGTAAGTCTACAAACGATGTATTAGAATATTTCATATGATTATTTTATTTAGAAAGAGCAAATCGATCCGATACGGGTCCACCTGAACCATATCGATCTCAATCAATGGCTATTATACCTCAGAGATTTCATGAAGAAACTAAAGAAAATGGTGTAAAAAATCATTTATCATCATCATCATCAGAAGACAAATCATCTTCTGATCAACATCATAAATCAACATCGCATTCATCCATTGGTCGTACTAGATCAACACGTTCATTTAGACATTCAATTCGTTCAGCTGTACCCGATACATCTGTTATAACAATGGCTAAACGACCAGATCGAGGTGGAACAGGTACATTCAATTCTTTAAAAAAATTACAAAGCAAAAAAAAACAAGGAAACTATTATTAAATTTTTATTTTAGCTGGTCAACAATTACAATTGTATACAAATCATTTTAAATGTCATATACCTCAGACATTAAAATGTCATCAATATGATATTGAATTAGAAGTAGCAAATCGTGATGGTACATGGCGTCCAGCAAAAAAAGATGATCGATTTTTTATTTTAAAAAAAATAATTGATCGTGAAAATTTTCCATTTGTTTGGTATGATGAAGGCAAAAGTCTTTATTCAACTGAATTACTTGTTGATTTTAAAAATCAATATGAAATTATGATTAAAGATAAAAAAAGTGATCGCGAACAAATATATCGTTTATTACTTATTAATCTTGTAAAATCTTATGATATACAGGTTAGATTTGAATTTATTTAATAAGAAAGAAAAAAAAATAAGATAATGTATGATTCTTTTCTGTTTAAGGTTCTTTGGGATTTTATTGAAAATAAAATACCTATCCGTCCAAGAGATCCTATAAGAATACTTGAAACACTTCTTAAACAGACTACTCGTGCAACAATGGTTTCTGTTAAAAATCAATTTTATGATCGACATCAACAACTTGATGATTTAGGTATTAATAAATTTATTCTCTGTATAATGGAAGTTCATTTTCATGAACGTAAATTAAGCAAAAAAAAAAGAATGTTCAGCTTGATAAAAAATACTACATATAATATCACAGGATAAATAACAAAAAAAAAAAAAACAATTGATTTTTTTAAAATCATGCAACAAGGACTGATGAGCTAATTGTGTCCGAGTCCAGTTCTAGTGTTCTTCCTTACTTTATCGAAAATGATCTAACAGAATAGGATACAAATTCTGACGAGAGAACATATCCAAAAAATTTCGATTTCATACTATGATTATTAGTAGACACTTATGAGAGTAAAACAATTTTAAAAGAACGAGGGTATATGGTCTACTGAGGAAGAGTAATGACCGCTTTAATGAATTTTTGTTACTGAGAGCAAAGTATTTCCGAAAAACCTAAACCAAACAGTTTCAAGTTGAAATTTCCTCTATAGACACGTTCGATAGTTTTGAAGATTTTCATGAAAACCAATTGTTATGTCGTCTTTCTTTC